TAGCAAATGATGGAGAACGAGTCGAGGAGGATGTTTCCTCCCCCGGCAATGACTACCATCAGCATGGGGACAGTGTCGCCCAGGTCGCGCTGGTAAGGGAAGACGATCTCGATGCATTCCGATTGCTGGAAACCGCTCAAGTCAAAAATATCCTTCAGAAGATGGATTTCTCCCCTCTTGCTCAGAAAGAAATTGCTAAGTTCCTGTGGTTGGCGGCGAAAGAAGGTGTAAAGGAAGTAGCGTCGATCACATCGCTCCCAGTACCTCAAAGATCGACCGGGTCGGCCATAATCTTTACTGAAGAAGACAAATGTGTTCCTACACCGCACAACAGGCCGTTGTATGTTACGGCCTCTCTTAATGGGGTCGAACTCAAGCGGGCGTTTCTTAACAATGGTTTATCCCTCAATATCATGCCGTTGGAAATCTTCTGTCGCACTGGATTGCCAAGTGAGAAGCTTATCCGGAAGTCGACTGAAATTGCCGGGTTTGGGAGTGATATTAGAAGAACTGAGGGATATGTGACAACCGAGTTGGTTATTGGAAAATTCAAATGCCCAGTTAAGTTCTATGTCATTGATTCAGACACTTCTTATCACTTACTTATGGGTCGCGGTTGGATGCATAAGTTTAGAATTGTTCCATCCTCGTACCACCAGTGTATGAAAGGGTTCTGGAACGGGAAGCAAGTAACGGTCCGCTGCTTTGATCGACCGTTCACTAACAGGGAATCTCATACGGTGGAGGCTGCATTCTTTAATGAACTAGAGGAGGCGGAGGAACCCCAACCGTTGAAGGCCTACTCTCTGCCGAAGTAGGAGGCCATCGACCGACAAGGAAGTGAAAAGATGTCAGGAGCGAATACCAGTCAGAAGGGGCCGGCCGTTTGCAAGAGAGTACGTCTGGCCAACGGGAGGATCGCCTACCGCTTATAACGGTGTCGGGGGGCACGATCTCGGGTGTAATACCCCTAATTTTAAAAGGCTATTCCTAGAATTTAATGTATGGTTTATTTGCATTTTATTTGCTTATTTGCGTAATAGTTTTATTTAATTAAGATTTATTTATTTAATTAGTCATGCTACTTAATTAATTATTTTTGGTAATTGTTTATTTAATTTTTTTTTATTTAATTGTGTTTATTTAATTGTTTAATCAATTTTATTTAATGGAAATTTAGTTTTTCTGTTCTCTACGTGAATTTAGGGTTGCAATTCACATGGGTGGCCGACGTAGGTATATATCCTAGGTTGGTTTATGGGCCGAGATGGGCTCTGGCTTTAAGGTTACAAAGATTAGGGTTCAGAGTTAAGCTTATAAATATATTACGTGCGGTAAGCTTAGGGTTTTTTTTGGATTCATAGCAGTTAACTCGGAAACGTGAATTGAGTTCTCTGAAAGACACAGAAACTGTGAGGTACAGAGGAAGATAGGAGGTGTCTCTGGGTTGAACCAAGTTACTGGGGAAGCAGACTTGCAGTTTAGGACACAAACATATCACCACAGATCTGAGAATTTAGAGTTTCAAGTCTGAAACTCAAAGGCAAGTTCTTTTCTTTCTTTTTCCCTTTGCTTGTGTTATGTGCACCTAGGTGGCCTCTAGGATTTAATTAAGAAGTAACCGAGTTTCTTATGTATATTTGATGGTATTTCAATGTTCTGTATGTGTGAAAATTTATTTAGTTACAGTTTGTGCGTGTCTGTGATTTATTTGTTTCCTGAAGCATGAAAAATCTGATGAATCTGTAGCCTCTGTTTTTGAATTTAACTGCTGTAAACACATCTTGGGAATGATACTGGACTTAGATGGAACTCTTAAGATCAGTTTAAAACCAACTAGACAGGTTGTGAATGGCCGGAAACACTGCAGAAAGTTGTAGGAGCAACAGAGGTTGAAGGAGGCTCGAGGACGAGGAGAGAGCCGGCTTTGGAATACAAAGAGCCGGCTCCCCCATCAAAGAGCCGGCTCTAGGAGAGGTAGAACCGGCTCTACCCTCCTTAGAGGCGGCTCTAAGAATTCCAAGATCCTACTCTTTCAAAAGTAGAGCAGGCTCTCTCTCAAACTTTGTTCTGAAGTTGAATTTTAACGAGCTGTTTGGAATTTAGAGGGTCTGAACTATGTCTAAAAATTCTGGGACTTTTCAGTGTGACTAAGAAGCTAATTTTAAGTGTTAATAGTATCCTTAATTGATCAAAGCTTACCTTTGAATTAACAGAACAAATTGTAGAAAGGTTATGTACATTGTATACGATTAACCGACGGAAGGAGACTTAGTTGCTTAGGCTAAACTTTGTGAATCCAGTGGATTGACATGAACTTATATGTTGATTCTAAATGCATGTTAGGGTTATCTGTTTAATAAATGTGTTATATGCATGCTCTGGATATTAATGGTTGACAAATTTAAATCTTTTCTGTAATTAACTGAATTTTTGCTCGGATTTAAATTGCTAGAATATAAACTGTTTTTCTACAATTACATGGATGAGTATTTGAACTATAAATCACTTAATAATTGTTTATAGGTTATAATCTGCATGATTATGGAGGATTGTATGCACCGGTATGGAACGGTGGCATACCAGGGGATGGTTGAGCTTAAAAACGCTAACCTAACCTACCGGATGGAAAATATGGATTGTAAAATATGGAATCCATTAATGTGTTTAAGTCGAATCAACTGACTAGGTTGAGTGATTTTCTGGATTAATTGGTTGTAATTAAGTCACTTCAACTGAATAAGTTGAGTGCTTATCTGGACGGTATTTTGTATGTCTCCTCATTGAATAAGTGAATGACATACTATGGTTTTGGATGGATTTTAGATATATGGTTATGGTACCATGATATGAGCGTGAGTCTCAGAGTCGTTGGTTAGGGTGCGTATATGCAGTGGATGCGTAGCTGGATATAGCAGGTAGGTGTACCCTGTTAGGTCTAAGTACTCATACCCACCTTTGGGTGCGTTTTCGCATGTTGCCTTCTATTCAGGTTGAGACCTCTACTATAGTCTAGTAAATGTCCTTAGTGTGGATATATATGTATATTTATGGATTACGTAGTTATGTTGAGGGTATCTAGGGTGTATCTGCGTATCGGGCACTGTATGGATTACAGTTGGATTAGGACTTGCATGTGGGCCTGACCCACTTCTTTATTTTTCTTTTCAGGTAACGGACGGTTCCAGTCTCAAGCTTGATCGTGCTAAGCAGGGACTCTCATTCATTCTACCGACGATGTAGGATTTCGCTTCATAATTTAGTTTTGGAATATCTTTACTTTCAGTTTTTAGTTTCAGTTGGAGTTTTATTTCGGGGTCCACTAGTTGGATTCCCAAGTTGTAACCTTGGAGGTTTTTGGGCTAGATTATTGAATCTTTATTATTTGAGGATTTTATTTTAGTTTCTATCAGCTTAAACTTTATTTTCTTATTTCGGTTTGTATTCTGTGTTCATTATAAAATATTAATTGTTTGATATCCCTCGGGTTTGGGCCTAAGCCTGATCAACTCGTGTCTCGGATCCGAGGGGTATCACATCGGGCGAGGCCGCGCCCCCGTGTGGAGACATGTCACGCGGAGTCTCCTCGTCATGAGGACGAGGTCAAAATGGAAGCCGAGTCTGTCCGGCTTACCCAGGGAGAGCTGGAAGAGGTCAATCTAGCCACGAGTGATCTATGTAAGCAAACAGTTGGAACAAAATGAAAAGCTGGCATTAATAGCCCTACTAAAGGAATTTGAAGACGTCTTTGCCTGGACGTACGAAAAAATGCCAGGATTGGACCCTCGGGTAGTGGCTCATCATCTTAATGTGCGACCGGATGCATGCCCAGTCAAGCAAGCGCAAAGGAGTTTCTGGCCGAAGCTCGAGTTACAAATAGCAGATGAGGTACAGCGGCTTTTGCGAGTCGGCTTTATCAAACCGATTCAGCATCCTACGTGGCTGGCGAATGTGGTCCCAGTAAAGAAGAAGAATGGAAAGATCAGGATTTGTGTTGATTTCAGAGATTTGAACAAGGCATGCCCTAAAGATGATTTCCCGCTGCCAATGATTGATAGTTTGGTAGACTCCACCTCAGGGCACGAAATGTTCTCTTTCATGGATGGATATAGCGGGTATAATCAGATCAGGATGGCGCTGTGTGATACGAAAAAGACTTCATTTCGTACCCCCATGGGGAATTTCTACTTCACAGTCATGCCCTTTGGCCTAAAGAATGTCGGGGCCACCTATCAGCGAACCATGACAGCTATTTTCCATGATATGTTGCACAGGAATTAGAAGATTATGTGGATAATCTGGTGGTAAAATCACGAGCTCGGGCTAATCATTTGGCTGACTTAAGAAGTGTTTTCGAAAGGTGTCGAAAGTACAAGTTGAGAATGAATCCGTTGAAATGCGCCTTTGGTGTCGAAGTTGGCCGATTCTTGGGATTTATGGTTCATCGGCAAGGTGTGGATATTGAGGAAAGTAAGGCTCAGGCCATCATGGAGATGCCCCCGCCGCGGTCCCTCAAACAGCTAAGGAGCTTAGTAGGGCGGGTCTCGTACCTACGACGCTTCATACCGGCGCTTGCCGAGATAACGCACACTTTTGGATCCTTGATGAAAGGAGGCTCCGAGTTTAGGTGGAATGAGGATCATCGACAGGCTTTTGACCAACTCAAGAAGTTGTTAGCATCGACCACTACCATGATAGCTCTCCAGATCGGGGTCCCCCTCAGGCTTTACATCACGTCGACTGAACGCTCCATAAGAGCGCTTCTCGCCCAGGAAAAGGATGGCCGAGAATGCCCTGTGTATTACATAAGCCGAATCATTCAAGGAGCCGAAGCGCGCTATTCTCCGATAGAGCGCCATTGTTTATCTCTAGCATTTGCGGCCAAAAAGTTTTGCCATTACTTTTTGGCTCATACCATTCACCTCATCACCAAATGTGACCCTTTGAGGTACCTGCTCTTGTGACCCATTATCTTGGGAAGAGTGGCGCGCTGGCTTCTAATGTTGGCCGAGTTCGATATCCAGTGCCTTGCGCCCTGCGCCATCTTAAGTCAGGCTATGGCTGACTTGATAGCCCAATTCCTTTCTAAAAACTTCGAGCCAGTGCACAATGACTTGCCCCATGACGAGTTCGGGTTGGTCTGTTGTGCGGATCAAAGCATGATGTGGACCCTGTCATTTGACGGATCGTCAACCTCCACGGGAGGCGGCGCGGGAGTAGTGCTAACACCCGAGCAAGGGAAAGTCCAAAATCTATCATTTAAACTCACTTTCGGATGCTCCAACAATACGGCAAAATATGAAGCCCTAGTATTAGGCTTATTGGCAGCACGGGAAGATAAGATCAAGCGGTTACGTGTCCAAGGTGACTCAAATTTAGTGGTGAAGCAGTTGGATGGATCATATGCCATCAAGGAGCCGGCGTTAGCGGCGTACAAAACAATCATTCAAAAACTTAGCAGTAATGCTGACAAGCTCTGTATAACTTATGCACCTCGGACAGCCAATCGACATCCGGATGCCCTGGCAACCTTGGGATCTAAAGCTGAAATTACAGGAGAATCAGTAGATATTTGAATCTAAAAGAAGGAGGAATCCTACTTACATAATGAAGAATTTGTTGAATGAAGGAGTGAGGAGGACTGGCGAAGCCCGTCTGAAGCCCAATTGAAAGGCAATGCAGGAGCAATTCCCTTGCAATTACTCAAAAACTATACTCTGTACCTCGGAGTGTTGTATTTTAGAGCACCCGGTGGAACCTTGGCGAGATACATCGGGAAACAGGAGGCCAGCTGAGTGTTAAATGAGGTTCATAAGCACACGTGTGGCGACAACTCACTGAGCCTGTATCGAAAAATACAAAGGCATGGTTACTACTGGTTGGCAATGGCAAAAGATGCAGCGATTGTTCAAAAAGCATGTCCAGAGTGCCGAAACCAACTCAAGGAAGCCCAATGTGTGTCTAATATTGAAGAGGATTAGAGACAGAAGTATATGGAGTATCTTGAAAAGCGGTCGCTACCGCAGGATCCTGAGGAGGCCGCGTTGCTTAAGAAGGATGCTGGGCCATTTTTTATCTATAATGGCGAGTTAATGAGGCGAGACTTTGATGGTAATGCTAAGCGGGGTGTCAGTCTGACCGAAGCCCGTGAGGTCTTGAAGCAAACACACGAAGACGAACGATAGGGATGGAAAAAATTGTACAATCGCATCATACAGTTGGGTTATTACTGGCCTACAATACAAACTGATAGTAAAGATTATGCCCAAAAATGCCGAGAATGCCAAGTTCACAACCATGCTATCCACGCACCAGCTGTGGAGTTTTATCCCACGGAGGCTCCTTGGCCATTCCACACTTGGGCCATGGATCTAATAGGTCCAATTTCGCCCAAGTAAAAAAAGATGAAGTGGATACTGGTGGCAACAGAGGTTTACACTAAATGGGTTGAGGCGACTGCCTTGTCAACAATAACTGGCGATGGCAAACTTTATCAAAGAGAATATTATATGCCGTTTTGGCATACCTCGGGTTATTGTATCAGATAATGGAACCCCATTTGTCAATAGCAGAGTACGTGCGCTTCTTCGAAGATATCAGGTGGCCCATCGAAAATCAACACCTTACTATCTGAAGGGGAACGGACAAGCCGAAGCCACTAATAAGACATTGATTCAAATTTTGAGCAGAACGTTGAAGGAGCAGCACAACAAGTGAGCTGAGCAGTTACCGCTCGCCCTTTGGGCTTACCGTACCACCACAAGGGGCGCTACAGGCACTACACCCTTTTCCTTGGTATATGGGACAGAAGCAGTGCTCCCAATTGAGATAGCAATCCCTTCTGGAAGTTTAGCCGAGCGAAGCCAACTGTAGTTCGATCAACGGATTGGCGAGCTCGAGGGACTTCAGGAGCGGAGGAGGTAGGCAAAGGATAAGATAATGGTGTATCAAAGAAGGGTGGCTCGGGCCTACACCGCCACTGTCCGACCTCGAGCATTTCAAGAAGGTGATTTGGTCCTGAAGGCCGCAATGCATGTAATGCGAAACCTGGCCGCCCCAAAATTCACTCCAAAATGGGAAGGCCCCTTCGAAGTCAAGGCTGCCAGCCCCAGCGGATACTATAACATCGAGAAAGTGGGAAGCAACAAGATACTGGGTACACTTAATGCCAAGTGGTTGAAAAATTTTTATTCTTAACATGTAAGCCTTACTCGAGGCCCTATGACTGTATTAAAAGTTCTGAATTTCAAGCTACTGTATTAAAGGCCCAAGGGACCCTGTACTTCCCTATCAATGTCTAATGTCTGAGTAATTCCCTTTGAACCAAATTCTTGGATTGACCTCATCTCTGGTAAAGGTCATAAAGGCATGTGTAATGAAACTCTGAATGGGTGTTGGTATGCGTCTCTAACCTCTTGCCCCTGGAAGAAGTCTTTCATAATCGCCATATCATAAAAATAACTACTATACATTTAAATGGCATCTGTAATAACTACTATACATTTAAATGGATAACACAAAAAAAAAAAAAAAAAAAAAAAAAAAAAAAAAAAAGAAAAAAGAACTGTTTCATTAATAAAAAACCGTTCACGAATAACTGATCCATTCCTTGTACATAAACTGTTCTCATCAATACATCATTAAGGTAGATCGCCTAGGGCTAGAAGGGCAGGGCCGAGTTGTGCCGACTTGCGCTCGATCTCGTTCTTCAAAGAGGTGATATGTTGTTCCCTCAGATTCACTTGTTGTTGCAGTTCGACCAAACGTATCCTCTCATTTTCGAGGATACCTTCTTCTTCATGGACCTGATTACGAAGATCCTTAATTTCCTCCACCATTTTCTCGTGCTCCCCAAAGGCCTTGATTCGCGCAAAGATTTCCTCGGCCCAAGTCACGTCAATTTGTGCTCTTTTCAGATTTACAAGAAGGCGATCTAGGGAGTCGAGCTCCTTTCTGCATAAGGAACGATCCTTGGCCCCTCGGAGACTTACCACAAGCTCGCACATGGTTTTATATACAAACTCCAGGAATAAAGGCAGTATCCCCTCGAGGTTTCCAAAACTTTGCAGATACTTGGCTTTTATCTCTTCTAAGATCTCTACCTTTTCCCTCGAGACAACAGTACCACCCCATGAAATGCATGAAGTAACGTAATCTCCTTGATCTAGCCTGTTAGGACTTTGTTCGGTGTCTTCCCTCTCCTCGTCACCTTCGAGGGAACGGTGTCTCTCACTGGCCGCATGCGCGTCCCGCCCTGGTTCGGACAAAACCATGGCCTTGACTTGATCAACACTTGGATCATTTTGCTCTGGACCATGTGAGCCTGAGGCCTCATCTTTGGAAGATTCGTTGAAGATCGAGTTCCCCGTCTCATTTAAGCTATCCTCTTCAGGGGGCGGAAGGGATTGGATGGCTGACTCAACCATCTCCCGCAGCTCGACAATAGGCTCTCGCGGTAGTACGTGGATGATCTCAACCTGCGAGCTAGTGTCGCTGTCCTCACCTCGTTGACCAGAATGATGACCCTCAAAACCATTAGCTGCCTCGGCTGCATCAGAGGCGGTCGCTTCGATGTCTGTAACATCATGAAGACAAAGGTATCTTTCAAAAAAAAATAATAATAATTAATTTACCTGTGTTTGAAGGCGAGTGAGTTGGGTTTCTCTCAAAGTTAAAGGTCCTTAAGGCAGGGTTCACCTCGGTATTGACTTCTCCCGTCTCCTCGTTAATACGGCCTAAGCCTCGAGCCAAGGGGATTAGCTCTTTCCCCATCCCACGACGGGAAGGTACAGGAGGATTTAGGTCCGATGCCAGAATCTCTCTTGCTGCTCGTTCGGAGTCTTCAAGGACGCTTGCAAGAGTGTGAAGTGGATCGGGAGGAACTGCCAAGCCAGTATGAGTTATTGAAACATGAACTGTGGCACCTGCAGTAGAGGTCTTCTTAAGTAGCACAGAGTGGGATCTTGTGCTCGAAGCCACCCCCGCTCGAGTAGATGGAAGAGCAGCATCCACGGGAGCAATAGAACTGTGAACGAGGAGGGGATCCTTTGAGGTGTTCTGGAACAAACAAGGAACAGTTAAGTATTAAGAAATGATGGAAATTGCGAAGACAGTAACTTGCACTAACCTTAGGTTTTTTGGAAAAAGTGGCAGCGGGGACAAAAGTACTAACGTCCCGATCAACTTTGCGCTTATCTCGACGAGTCTTTGTAGCTCGAACAGTTATCACGGGCGCTGCGACACTAGATGAAACTAAGGGAAGCAAACCCGAGGTACTGCAAATCTTCCCGCGAGCCGCTATCGACGTGTTCTTGAAAGGACGAAATGAGGCGTCACCTTTCAACAAAGAACGAGCAGGGACAGGAACTGGAGTGCTAACCACAAATTGCTTAAAAGAATTGATCACTTCCTTCCAGTATGCTCTCGTTTGCACTCCCCATCGTCCCACTCGCGAGGTCGAGGGAACATAAAGAATCTGGTGATCTCTCAAGAGCTCGGCCTCCTCAGAATCAATGAAGTGTAGAAATCCCAAGGCATAGGTACTATAGTCTTGGCGCGCACCATATCCATAGTCTCAAGCAAGCCCTTGATCCAATCCAAACTGTCGAGCCACCCTATGGGGATTGTAAACTTTACCCGCACCCGAGTTAGGAGGAAGGAGGGCAGGAAGGTAACCCGCAGTGTACAGAGCAATCATTGTCAAGGCTGGGGTACGTCTCAGAGACTTGCCTGAGATAACCATGCCATCCTTTGAGGCACAGCACTCCACCCACGGCCCGTGAGTATAGGGACGAGCTAGAAAGCAACTTTCCCTGTCAATATACTCCGCCAATTTCTTTTTTGTGGAATGTTTATGCCATTGAAAGGATCGCTTCAAACCTTTGTCCCGAGGAAGCGCTGTCGGGCGAGGACTATAACGGGGAAAATGCTCATATAAGAACATTTGAAGAAAGATTGTGTTGACAGGAAAAACCACGCTCATACGCCCAACGGAGCATTCTATCCAGGCATACGCCAAGTCGAGCTCATGATAGAGCGTACCAAGAAATAGCGCGGCTAAAGGAAAGCTGTTGCCGTAGGATAACCTAACAGCCAAAGGAATAAGATCCGGACACGGTCCATCATCAGGAGGACCTGGAAAAATGAACCTCGATAGCCAAGATAGAAGAAAAGCGGCGAGACGAACTAAGTCTTTGCATTTAGGACTATTGAAGGAGGTCTCTCCTTCTTGGTCCTGAGGAGGAAAGTCCCGAAAGTAGTAATGGAGGAGCGACACGAAAGTGCATTTCTTTCCAGTCTCTGGAAACTCCTCGCGAAGACCGTCATCCTGATAGCTCGAAGCGATCTTCCCGGCCGCGGTGACACCACTGCGAAGCTTGGCAACTAGTTTGACCTCGTCTTCAGAAAGCACCCAGGATTTAAATGTTTTAATTAAATCCCTACTCTAATTATATATATAAGTTCCTTCCAAATACAATGTTGTGCCGGTCAATAGTTCATTGGTCAAGACACAACATATAATCAGGATTTAAACGTTTTAGTTAAAACCCTATCCACCCTAACGCAGAAATATAAA